AGTGACACCATCAATCATCCAACCTCTATGGGTGGCTGTGGAATGAGATGCCTTTCTTGACATGAAAAGTTAGAAGATCATACATAAAAGGATAATAAGAAAGGAGGTAAGAGCAAGGTTTTTTTATACCGATTTTTTTTCGGCCGGAAATTTTGGATTTTTCAATCCGAAATTTTCAATTCAAAAACATTTAACGTCAAAATATATAACTTTTAACCAATCGAGAACGTGAAGTACTTTCTGGTGAACTGGTCAGCTCGCTTACTTACCTATCGAAGGTCGTGCGTTCGATCACTTCCTAACGCACCGCGACCGATTTTTTTAGGAAGCTTGAATAAGGCAAAAAAAAGTTCAAATTGCAAAAAAGGGTAATCGAACCTGAGACATAAGAATGATAGGTAGCGCTTCCTACCACTTGGACAAGTGCTTTGGTTATGACTATCTTGGTATACGAAGCCATTTGACATTACTTAGTCTTTTAAATTAAAAAATTAAAACTTTTTGGACGGTATCAATTTTTTTCGGAGGTCACCTAGGTTTTTGGTTTCCGGCCAGTTTCCATTTTTGCAGAACGGAATAAAAACACTGGGTAAGAGACAAAAATGGGCAACTGTTGATCTAGGAGTACTTTGGATTTATATTCTATTTCAAATGGAGTATGTCTCGATTTTGACAAAAGCTGAATATCATATACGTTCATATACGGGTAGAATTAAAAAGGTACCCAACATAACTAAAAAACAATGGCGCTCCGTTGATCTTATATTTAGTTGCTATGGGATAATTTCATTTCCAGTATTTAATAATAGAGTCCTTATCAGTTTGAAAACAAAATGATACCTAGTATATTAATTTCATATTCTTAAGAATCTTCTAATTTGCACCATAGTAGGCACCAACATGGTCGACAATAAGTCTCATAACCTGGAATGATCAAATACGACCCAAAACTAACGTACAAAGCATAAAAACAAGAAACTTCAGAGAAATTTACTCATATTGTCTTGTCTAATCATCAGTCATTGTGCAAATAAATATGATGTCTAAATATTTGCCCATTGTCTTGAAATACTTAAGTAGTTTCCTTTTTGCTACTAGTGTCTTGAATCAGCAGAATTATTTAATAAGACGGGTGTCCCTTGAGTTGAGCATTATAGGGTTAAAATCTTAATGAAAACTCAATTAACTCATGTGCACGAACAAGGACCAGGACCATATGGACTCAATACTGAAATAAATTCAGTGAGGTGATTGTTGGGGCAGTAGTTGATCCTCTCGCTTTGATACATTGATCAAATTGGTACGATGTTTATTCCAAAAAAATTCATTAAATTTATCTATTTATTCAAATATAATCAACTTACTGGCATTATATCAAATATGTTAATACAACCAACTTACTTAATTTGTATTATATATGTAATTGTTTCCTTTATCGACATTTCATCGAGATCATTTCCCCACATATTGTACTACTGAATACTACCCAGTTGACCCATAAATCTTCTGCTATTCGCAACATTATGTCCGACAAAGGTTTAAATTATGATTTGTTCAATAAGCCATGACGAGTTTCCGTAGAACTGGGTGTCAGCGGCTGGCTGCGCGCCCAGCCACCACCCACATTTGAGCCTTGTGCTCCGCAGGACGTGTGTCTGGTTGTTTCTTAATAAATTATTGTATGGGCTAGTCCCTGTTGGTCCCTTTTTTATGGTTAGTTTAATACATGACATTTCCAAAAAAAAGTACGCCCTCCGTAAAGAAATATAAGAGCGTTTAGATCACTAAAGTAGTGATATAAATGCTCTTATATTTGTTTACAGAGGGAGTACAATGATACTCAAAATAATGAAATATGATAAGTGCCACTTAGGAGCTAGTTTTTTTTTTAAATACATATAGAATTATTTCTTCTTGTTTTAGGGCCTTTTTGAATCCTGCCCGCATCGGCTGTACCAAAATGGGGTGCGCTAATATTTTGGCAAGGGAATCAGAGGCTTCCGTCTCGCTAGTGAGTGGGCGTGAAATCAGAACTGCCCCTTGGTTCCTACAAATCAGAACTACCACCCAAACAGCCCCTTAGTTCCCACAATTTTGCCTCTTTGATACTTTATCCGTTGAGATATCAAAGTTGGCCTACCAATTTAGTTGTTGGATCATATAGTATGCTTTTTACTTGGAGCAAGGGCAATCAGATGGAATTAAGAATTTGATATAGTTAAGTGTCATGTCCAAGCTAAGACATGGTATTGCCATCAGGCAGTTGGCCACAATGTGCCAATGTGGCGACCCTCAACGTCATCTTGGGCGCCCTGAACTGGATCAACAGTAACCACGTCGTGCAAGCTCGAAAAACGCAGCCGCCGTCTTCGCCTGCCCTCATAGGGACTCTTCTGGAAACCCCCTATCGGCAACCGACAAAGGGAACGGTAGACTTTGCAGGGGCTATAGCTTTGGCACAGTCTTGGAAACTCAAGCATATAGGTCACTAATGGATGAGAAGGTCAGAGCACTGCAATCCACCGGACGCTGTGGCGTTAGTGATGTCAAGCAGTTTGGCAGGGCTCTAAGACCCTACTCTGTTTGCAACCGGAAGATCACGTAAGGTATTTGTCAACCTCTAGATGAAAGCCCAAGCGATTAATCTGGAACCTTGTAAATAAATACAGCCGGCGTATACGGTAGTGTTTGACCGTGCAAGACAGTTACTCTGCATCCTTTGCTTACGGAATAAGCTTAGGTTCACCGGTAACTCCTCCGGGACAAGGGTGTGCGTTTCAACATGAGGCCCAGACCCAGAGCGGTGTGCGCCTTTTGAAGTTTTTCAGAAAACCCAGACGACGGTGTCCGTAATCATTTTCAGAGAGTGAGGATGGCCTGGCACTTGCAGTGAGTGGGTCAATGGAACCGAACAAACACTGGGGTAGGGGTAGGCCGGCGCAGGAGCAGAGGACTGGCCATGCCGCTGCCGCTGCCGCTGACAAATTTTCATGGGTTTTTGGCCTCGCCCTCGCGTAATGCCCGTACATATTTTGCAAGCCCTCCCTGTTCGGGTTTCCTATTCTGGTGCGAATATTATAAGCGGAAAAGAAAAAGGGGGCAAGGGATACTCACGAACCTGACGTGGAAGAGGTTGGGCACACGGGCGGCGCCGAGGTAGACCTCGACGGCCCCGAGGAAGGCCTGGTACGTGCGGATGTGCAGCGCGTCCACGCGCGGGTACGGCAGCCGCGGCCGCGGGCCCAGCCAACCCACCACCGCATTACCGCCGCCGCCGCCGCCGCCGCAGCCCAGGAAGGTGTACTCCCTCCAGCGAACCTGCTGCTGATCCTGGGGCGGCTCCGGCGGGGGCGGCAGCGGCAGCGCCACGAAGCCGGCAGCGGCGAGGATGGGCTCCAGGTCGTCGTGGGTCGTTATGGGGCGGAACGTGGCCGTGTGCCACAGGGACAGCTTCTTGGCCGCCTCCTGCACCGTCAGCCTTATGTCCCTGCTCCTGCCGCCCCCGCCGGCCCCCGCGCCTGGAGCACCCGCCGACGACGCCATGGACCGACGGAGGAGGAGGGGTTTATCGAGGGGACAAGGGGGGAGAGGCGGGGACGGCTCTTGGCGTTGTTTATGCGGGAGAGACAGACAGAGAGAGATTGTTGGTGCGTTGTTTGAATCAAAAGACGGGGAAGATTTCCGGAGAGGAAAGAAAGAAAATAAAGGGAAGGAAGGAGGGAGCAGGAGGAGGTGGACGAGACGAGAGGGGTCTGAGGCAGCCCGCGTTGGGATTCTCTCTCGCCCGCTCGGCGTCGCAATATATTTCTCGGGCCGTGATAAACGCTCCACGCACCTGCGTTCGGTGCGATGCGAGCGGTTTCCAAACCCCTGGCTGGCGATGACGCGT